AGAGGTCTGGGAAAGAACTGCAGGAAGTTCTCCTACAATGCCTTCGGGTGTCTTGGGCCTGTGTGCTGCAAAAGCACGTTGCTGTTCACAGCCCAAAACTTCAGGATTTCATTACTCATCCACATGTGTTAGATAACTTAGGGAAGGCACTATTAAACTCTTATAATTATTAACGAGTGACAAAGCGGAGCAGTCAAGTATATCACGCACGGAAATACTGCAAGTATTTCCACCAACAGTGTGTTATATCAGTGCAATAAGATTTTCTCACTAGCCAAGTCATGTTCTTTATTAGTGACTACTTGTAAATGTAAATTGTATCTCACAACCATAATAAAATAAAACTTTTCCTTTATTTAAAGCATATATACTGGAATTGAAATTATAAGGATGGGCAATTGTTTTTCTAAAACAGTGCTTTACATACAGTCTAATTAACTTTAGGAAATCTTTCATTATCAAAACATATACTTTTTGCCTGTTTAAAAAAAGTATACATTGTTTATGTATACTTTTATTATTTACTATACAAGATTAACTGTTGTAGTAAATTTTTTTTAAGGAAGGGATTAACTGTTGTAGTAAACTTTTTTTAAGGAAGGAAATATAAGTTACTGAAAACCTGGTCAGTTCTGCTAGTTAAAATTTTTTAGCTGGTCTCACTGAATGTGTAAGGATGTATTAGCATAATATACTCTTTATTATTAAATATTAGAAAGTATTTCCTCTGTTCGGCTAAACTCAGAGCCAGTTTTCTTTTTCCAATTGAAAATAATGAAGCTCTAATGAAAACGTTTTATTTACCACTGGAGTTGAAAGAATGGAGCACAGACTCACTTAGCTCTTGCTGGTCAGCGGTGGTGAAATGCGCTCACAGCTGGCCTTGTTATTCCCTGTCCTTCTGCAGGCAGCTTATCACCCAGAGCCATGCATGAAGGTGAAGACTAACGTTTTAAGGAAATAAATATTACTTTAAGGACTCTATCTGGGAGCCACATTCCTTGTGTAGGTAGCACTTTGTGGAGGGTCTCATTTTAGCTATTGCAGGCTTGATATATAGGAGTTTCTACACTGATTCAATCCGTCTTGGGTTTACTGTTGTGTAAGAGTAGCAGAATTTGGCCCCATGTCCTCAGCAAAACAATCAGTGTCTTTTCTGACACATTATTAACCCATCATTATACACTTAGAACCAATTGCTAAGTCATTCTGCAAGTGTTTATTGGAAGAAAAAAAGACCAGAAATGCAGCCTTTCCTCATGGAAGTGACTGAAGCAATGAAGAGCTCATGCACAGCAAGACTTTGCCTTTACTTGGGTAACAGGCTCATGAAGAGGAAAGAGGATATAAAAACCATAGTTAGAGATCTAGCACTTTTTTTTTTTTTGCCTCAAAATGATGCAGATGAGATGCAGCTATAACTCTGGGTTGGCTCTTGTGAATGCTGTAAATCTGAAACGTATTTTGAGTTTCAAAGCCCTTTCTGAGATGCTTTCTCTTGCTAAGTCCTTTGTGCTTTGGTGCTTCTCTTTCTATCAAGATTGCACTATGTACTGCATTTTCCTGTTAACACTTGACAGCTGTAAACACTTTGTGCAGATTTTCAAACAGACTCTTCTGTATCCGCCGAGGAATGCAAGTGCTGTATCGCTGCAGTGTGGAACATCTGAAACTCTTACTGGAGAATGGGTTTTTCAATGCTGCTGCCCCTTTGCTGAGTTGGAGTAGAATGAGTAACCTCTTTTTACTCCTGTTCCAAATGCATTTGTTATTTTCACATTTCATCAAAGTTATACATTTTGTTATAACATTTAAAGTATCAAACAATAGCAGATCACAAGTACTTCTTCTTAGGCGCCTATTGGAAAGATGAATTTTCAAAATAGTTCTGCACTGAATTTGGCTGTCTTGGGTCACAGTTAGTGAATAATCACTCAGATACGGATTTCTGGGAGGCAAAATACCTGCTCAAGAGAGTATGTTAATTCCTTTTTATTCGCTAGCAAAAACCTCTAGGTTTTGCCTGGGTAGATCTGTAGTAAAAGATGTAGAGATGGTTAGATATTCTGTACGCTTGCTCCTACATACAGCTAATCTACTTGTGATTTCTAGTTTAAGGTTTTATACTGACTGCTATCACAATTGTATATGCATCAGATTACAAGATTTCTTATGTTCTGGTAATTTACACTTCAATAATTAGTGTCTTGTGATATTTGGCAGAATTTTAACATGGGGCAGTATTTTAGAAGCCTGGATATTTAATTACTCTGTATGTATATAGATACACCACTTAATAACAATTTACAGTTGTTGCCTATGCAAAGCCACAGAACTGTGCTCCTGGGGGAGTAGAGATTCAAGGCATCTGTAGCAGTGAGTATTTTCTTTTGATTTTTCAAGATTCTCTTTGCATCCATGACCTAATGACCTCAAAATTTAATCATGTTCTGTCTTGAATAAAAAATGTTCATGTTATCAACAGTATTGCTTGATGTTCTGCAGGATGAGCAATTTAGAAATTTCCAATCTAGGATTACAAATGTAGTTTCTGAGCATAATGCTCAGACTAAATGTTAAAAGGCAATTTTAATAATGCTGATTTACGATTCCATTGATTTACAGATTCGTTTTATATTTGACTCTCAAAGAATCATACTGTTGCCAGTTTTTTTTCCTTCTCTCTCTAGGTAGAGAAAACAGTCTTCTGTTGCACAAATTCCTTTACATGTTGTTCTCTCCTCTCTGGTAAAACGATTCATTGCATTTTATTCCCTCAGTTTTTTCCCCCTCTTTGGCACCTTCCTGTGGGCTAAAATATAATCAGACCGATAAAGAGATTTTTTCCAATGTTAATAATTAATACAAGGAAATGCGCTTTTTCATTGATTCTCTTAACAGTTACATAAGAATTCCATATAAGGAAAAGGTAAAAATTACACCAGCTTATTAACTGACAAAATATATGTCAATGTTATTTCATCCAATAACATTTTCACGCAGAATAAAAAGCACAAACTACACTTTTGTTTGACTAGGTAAACTGGCTCCATCATCTGCATCTGTGTCACCACCAGTACCAGCTACCCCTGAAGTTGTAGCGGAGTTGATCAAAGGCAACATATACCTAAGGTGTACCTTTGGTGTTCCTTTTGCAAACAGCTCACTTGGATTTATTGTAGCTTGGTCCAGACTTTCTCCTGAAGGTGTCAAAGAAGAACTGAAGCATGAGACAGCAGTTCGTACATTCTCACTTTTAGAAGTAGATGGCGTGAACGTCAAACTTGGAGACAGAGTACGTTACAAATAATTATAATCTCTTTATATCTTTGTATATATGTTATTTTTCCTCTATAGGCCCTTTACCTATTGACATATGATTTCATAATGCAGAGTAAATATTAACAGTTGTTAGAGACAGGGTCTCAGCACCTTTCCACATAATTTTTCTTGGGAGAAAAGTTATGCCTCTAGGTATTGTTCAACAGTGCCCATACGAATGTGGAAACATCACAGAATGTATCAGTAGTTACCGCTGCCATTAGAGTTTGAGACTTGCAGTCTCAATACAGTGTAGTGTGCCTCCAGTAGATAAATGTTGATTCAAGTTACATCATCTTCCCCTTCTTCTGTGATTTTGTTTGATACTGTAAATTACGAAGACTGCAGTTGGATGCAACTGAATCTAAGTGAGACCATTTAAGAGGTAGCTGTTGTAAGAAGCTGTGTCGTTGATCCAGCAAATAATTCTTCCTCTGAATCAATAATGTGGTTTAGGATCGCTAGAAAAATATGTAAATGGTTTAATCTCCACTAATAACAGCAATGGGAGCAATTCCGTTAATTTCAGTGGTAGCAGACTCAAGATCTAGGATCACATGGTAACTGAGAAGCATAAGCACTGAAAAACCGATAGGCTTTTATCCATATATACCAAAACGCATGTTAGAAGTGTGTAACATGTAATTGAAGTATAGAATACATTTTCAGAAGATGTTAGGGCCCAGAAATGCTTCAGAAGAGACCAGTCAAATTCATGGAGGTGTAGGTACTTGTTGAACAAAATGATCCGTATGCAACCTTTTTAGTTCAAGAAGGCTCTGAAGCACTGACAGAGTATGCTGGGAAAAGGTGTTTCTGTACTCCATCTATTTCTGTGTTTTCCTTAAGGACTACTGCTGGCAATTGGCAACTGCTGGTGCAAGTTGGTGAAGACTGGGCTCGATGAATCCCTTAAACTGGCCCATTATGGCAGGGTTTTGTATTCACATAAGGCCCCCAAACCAAAAGTATGTACTGTTGTGTTGTTTTTGTTCTACAGGTTTACTGTAGCAGTTCTGCTTTTTTCTTGGAGAAACCAGATGTACAAAGCTCTCCTGTTGAGAGCGAGGAGTTTTTTGCTGGCATTAAGGTAATTTGAAAAGAAAACAGTATCTTACTTTACTGTAGCAGGAATCTTTCTGAGTATTACTGCAGCTAGCACGTAAATGTTAACACATTTTCCGTGGGTGCATTAAAACATTTACATCAGTAAACATTGATCATTTTTGAAATTATTATGTGTTCCCCAGTGATAAAATTGTGTAGGATGCTGAACAAAAGTAAGCTGGAATTAGAACAGCCACAGAAAGCAGTTGGGCACCTGACTAGAAGGCTTTCAAGATATGTTGTGAATTAATAGAGCATATGCTTGGCTGTAGTGAACATAGATTTATCAAGTATTGGCGGAGTCACAGCTATTTCTGTGTTCCCCAATGCAGGAAGACTGAATCATCAGCTCACACAAATTAACAGCCCAGTAAACGCCCTGACCTCCAGAAGCTAGGCTAGGCTCTGCGTTTGTAAATTAAGGAGGGCCACGGCTCAGACTCAGGTCCTGGCAAGCTAGTTATTTGGTACGTTTAATTGCTTCTACCTTCCTGGCATGGTTGTGGCCCATGCCCACTGGTGCTCCCAGAAGATGCTTGAGCATGGCTCAGAGGATAGCCTTGACCAGGGAGTGTTCCCAGCTGACCATGAGCATCAGGGAAGCCTGAGGCCAGCCTGTTTTGGGGTTAGAAAGTGGAACTGGGGAAAGTTTAATCACGTAGACGTGAGCTGTGCCATGCTGTTTGGTCAGAGTGCAGAGAACAGGTTCAAACTCACTTTAATTCCTCATGTGGATGTAGCTCTAGGGGCCAATTTACCAGCCAAAAAGAGGGTCCCAGTCACAGAAAGATACATGCACATGATTACGTGTTGGGAATAATACTGTTGACTTGAGCGATGATTTGCCATTCGTAAAGTTGAGCATGAGCTTATGTTTCTGCAGGATCAAGGCCCAGATTAGTCTCGTGTACGTGAAATTCTGCAGTGCACGCTACAGCATCTGACTGCGTTATTTTCCTTTTCATGTGGTGAGGCTGCGCTGAGTTTCACCCAAGACACAATGCTCAGTTGTAGGCCCCTGTATTTTGGTTCCTCATTGCATTTCTGATTGTATATCTATTGTAAATTTAGAGAGGGTTTCCAGAGAAAATACTGTGCTTTTAAATTCTTTCAGGACATTGTTGCCTATAGGAAGCTTATTTGTTTTTTTAGCAGATGATACAGCAAGTTGCTTGCATTTTATTCTCCAGGAGTTATCCAGAGAACACATTTTGTGTTGTTAATGTTATATGATAATTCCTTAACTTTCTGGCAAGCCTTTACAGTTGCCTTTTCCTTCTCCTTGCCCCGTATTCTCGTCCTACCGAGACTCTTGCCAGTGTCCTCATTTCTCCCCAGTGTGCCTGTGCTTTTCAGCACATCCTAATAAACCTCATCAAGTAGAGTGGGCTGCACACCCTGCCGTCCCACGTCCTTAATTTTCTATACTTCACTCCTGGTGTGTCTTGCAGGTTAGTAAGCGGTACTGTGGTTCACCTAAAAGTTTGTATTTTAAGTATCATTTCTCCTGTGCCAGATATATCCAGAAACATATGCTATATCAGAAGATGGGAAGGAATACAGACTGGCAATAGAAAGTAGAATTCCTATTCCTTGTCCTGAATTTGGACAGCTTGAAAATGACTGCAAAATCTCACTAACATTAAAAACTGTTGACCAAGGTAAGTATTATCCCGGGGTTTATTACATTTTGTACGTTTAGTATGTTTTTCTAAATATTCTGTCTGGCCTGCTTCTTTGGGAAAGCTGGTACATTGTAAAGTATTTCAGAAGATACTAGAACCAAATATTCATAGGCTGAATATACTGCCGTTGACAGTACTGGGGAACAACACATTCCTAATCCATTACTTAGCAGTATGTACATAATTTCAATACCTGAAATTAGCAAGTGTTTTTGGCAGCTATGGATATTAGAGCTGTTTTTGTTGACTTGAATAGACAAAAGTGAATACTGTAATACTTGCAAAGTGTAGAATTTAGTTCACTTATTGACCGATTGTATCGATTGCGAGTATTGTATATGCAGTCATGAAATCCTCATTTCTTTACTGTTATTATTCTCATCTATAATGCTTTGTCAAGCACAAGTCCTGTGAACTCCAGGCCTTGCCTATGCAGACAACCATTTTTGTCATATCAGCAAGGCTATTGTGACCTTCATTTGACTCTCAATGTGAAACATTCAAAACCATTTCCTTGTGCATGTATATCAGTATGAAGATTTGGAGAGGATTTTTTGCATGTCCAAAACCAAGTAAAATACATAATTATTTTCCTTTTATGGACATAAAAATCTTGGTTATCTGTAAATAAGTTAGTATTTATATTGTCAATATTATGTAAATATATGACATTGTTTAGAGGAAAACTCACTAATAATGTGCTTTCATTAAAACAGGTAAAGACCAGTTAGGTTTAAACTTGGCTCTTTCTTCTTGTCACGTGGATCTTCCCCAGAAACCCTGCAATAATGGAATTTGTAGTCAAGCTGTAATTTATTTCACTGCTGTGACAGACTTTATGCAGGATGGAGACAGAATTACCAGGATTGTGGTGGAGCCTATATCCAGTGATAATTTCCTGTGGAATGGCTATGCTCCGGAAAGCACACAGGTTGGAAATCTTCTAACTCTGTAAAACCAACAGGCCAAAAATGTGGCTGATGTAAATGAAGCTTTTATTCCAGGTGTGACATGCTGATTCTCAGCAAGATTTCTAAGTGTTCAATAGCCATTATTTTATTTTCATTCAAATTCTGGATTTATGTTTGAACTTTTTATAGCCACTTAGGTTAGTTAAAAAGATAATACAATGTACTGATTTAAAAGTAAACTAGTGTCTTAAGAGAAATTATATGTTTGAATCTGTTTATTCTTAACCTGGCGTGACTTATTATGTGTTTCTTTGTTTTGAAGATTACAGTAAAGGATCTACCCACTGCTTACTGCTACTCATTTACTGACCCTCATATAATTACGTTTGATGGAAGGTAATCACCGGATTGCTGATCTTAATTTTAAGTGATTTCATATCATACTATCTATGCTATTGATACAATTTAGCTATACTTTTCCACAGTTGCCCTCTGTATTTTATACTCTTCCCTGGACAATAAGGATAAGCGTTCTTTAGTTAAGAAAATCTTCGTGCCACTGATGATGCTTGTAATATTTGTATTTCCAAATGCAAGTTTTGGTTTGCGGCAAAAGAGTAAAGAAAATGGACTATTTCCCCTTTTTGAGGAATGTACAAGGGAGGAACAGTAGCTGTACAGCCTATTGGATATGAAAGATGGAAATATTATTAAATATGAATAATGATGAAATGACTGATTAAGCAAAACTATTTTAATTCAAAAGAGTTTCCAGTCCGCAGCAGAGTTTCTGTTCTTGGGAGTAAGTAGTAAGTATCTGATTCCCTGTAAGGATCAAGTCACTAGAAGCCAACTGTTTTCTGTGTGACATTATGCTGAGTTCATTCATGGCTTTGAAAGCCCGTTTATTCACTGCTGTCCCTGGCACATTACTGAAATTTCTTTCCAAAATGAAGCCTGCTTCCTTGTCTACAAATGGCGTGCTTTTGATATGCTTCTGTCTTCCAAAGTGTTTCTAATTCATGGAAGGGGCCAAAACAAATCCAGGTCCCATGCAGACGGGAACTGTCTGTCTCTGCTCAGCAAAAGCACGTCTCTTCGAGTGACAGGGTGAGAGGAAGAGGATGCCTTGCCTCCAGATAAGGGTGTGCAACTCATAACCTGGATCTTCTTGTGAACCTGATAAAGGAAGGGAAAAGACGTATTGTAATGGCTACACTGGTAGCTCTGTGACTAATAATAATGCTATTCATAATAATAATAATAATAAAAAGAAGTCACAGTGATTATCTTCTTGCATTTCCTCCTTCAGTGAAAATTATAGGATGGCTTCACTGGATGTTTTAATTATCAATGTATTACCATCAAGACTCCTTATGAAACAGTGTGATTTACTGTTTTATGTTCTTGCTGGAAGCATGATGCTGAGGGGAAAAAATATTTTTAAAGATAAACAGTGTTGCTACTTTACTTTACAAACGGGAAAGGGAGCTGTCCACACTGGATCGCACGTAACTCTGAGCAGTCCCAGCAGGGCAGCCATCTGCAGTTTTTCTGTTGGGCCGTTATTCACAGAGCAAATCACCGTTCTGCAATTAACTGTCAAATGCCATTCATAGCTAAGAGGCTGTTAAACTTAACAGTGGAAGTGGATTTTTTCTCCCCCCCGACCAAACCCCAATCATTAAATTGGCTATTTTAACCTTGCTTCAGGGAACAGATGGCTAAGCCTAAGGAAAAAAGAAAAAAAGCAAGCCACTGTTGCAGTTTCCATTTTAAATCATTTTCAGACCTTCAGGAGTAAGCACTCTCCATCTCTTTCATAGTAAAGCAGACCTTTCTTAAAGTATGTGACTTTCTAAATCATTTTGTGAAGGGTACTTTACAAACTGCGACACCTGCCCCTGCCCCAGCACACAGTTAGGTATCTTGCTTTTGCTGCACGGGTGCATTGCTGTAGAAGCACAAAGAGTGAGAAGTACTGTCCGCTTCCCTGTCAGAGTATACATGAGCTCAATTAGGTAATATCAGAGCACAGCAGTGGCTTTATGGTTATATTTCCATTCAGAAACATTGTCTACATATACTCCACTCATTATCCTTCTTTTTTGCTTCTTTTTCTCATGTGGCTCAGTTTTAAATTTTTTATTCCTTGGTGCATATTAGAAGATATGATGTTGATTATCCAGGGTGGGGTGGGGGAGAAGTTGTGTGTTGGTTTGTGTTCTGTACTGTTTGGCTTTACTGATGCATGGACAAAATTTGTAGAGTCACAGCTTACGAAATATTTGAAATCTGTATTAAGATAAAGTTGCTGACATATAGCGATGCAGCTGTTTTATAACCAAAGCACTATCATGTGTTTTTCTTTTGATTCCAGACTCTATGACAATTTTGAAACAGGAACATTTGTTCTCTACAAGAGTACATCTCGAGATTTTGAAGTTCATGTTCGCCAGTGGGACTGCGGAAGTCTTCACCATCCAGCCTCCTGTAACTGTGGCTTTGTTGCCAAAGAAGGAAGTGATGTAATTGCGTTTGACATGTGCAGTGGTCAGCTACGTGAGTCCCAGCCGCACTTATCTGTAATAAGCAGAGACACAACTGGATGCAATGTCAAGATCACTGAATCCTACCTAGGAAGAAAAGTAACAGTAAGTGGTAAATATTACTTGCTGAGGCAATACTTATCTTAGGAGTTATTTTTGCCAGTTCATACCAATTATAGAACAAAACATGCTTTATTTCCTGCAATTAAGCAAAACAGTAAAGCCTATTTACAGTTATAGTCCTCTGGCCAGTGTTTTGCATTTAAGTGATGGGTGTTATCCTTTAAAACAACTATGTGTCCGCATGGACACCTTTCTGGCACTGTGTTGGCAAGCACAGCCTACAACCCTGGTATGGATGTTGCAGTTTTGTGAACCGATATGCAGTTGTTTAGCAGCACTAATTTTTCAAAATGGGATCTCTGCATGAACTGTGTTTTGCTCATGCCGGTGTCATATAGGAATGCCCGTGCATGCAAATAATTAGGTATGCCAAACGACCTGCATGGAATTAAAAGTGTCAGTGGCTTCTCTAGAGAATATGGCCCTCAAGCAAATGTGATTATTTGTATTTTTATAATTTACTATAGCTTTTCTTTCATAGGTAGCACTGCTGTAGGGCTCTAGTGAACCTGAAATGAAGCCGAATGTAAAAACGAAACACTCAGCTTCTCTCTAATCACTCTGTTGATCTGGAAGGCAAGCCATAAAAACCGATATGCCTTTTCCAGTTGTGTTTGGCTGTTGGTGTAACTTCAAACACTTAGCTTTTATCTGAAGCAGTTCATTTGAAGGGTTCAGATATTTAATATCAAGACGTCTTTAGGCAACAGAGAGATGAAATTCCTCCATTTCGTAGGTAAAGGTACAGAAAAACTGAAAAATTAAGTGTCTTGATCAGATTTGTGAGACAGGTCAATAACAGAAATAGCCTTTGCACTTAGAAGTCGTAAAATCTTGTGTCCTCACTTCAGCTATCCATCTCTCATGGATTCCCGTGAATGGTTATTGTTTATTTCTTTTACGTGTGCAAGAGTCTGTTTTTTTGCCCTTGGCACAAACCCCCGCTGCAATTTGTTTGTGTTTTCTGCAAGGAAAAGCATGCAGCTGGATTGTGTTCTTTAATTCTTCAGATCAGTATTTTAGAAAGCGTTAATTCTTCTCAGTATATTTTTAGAATAACATTTCTGCTTGATCGGTAGAAATATTGATGAGCGTTGCAAAACTTATGAATTAAAATACCGTAGGGTGTCCAAGTGTATAATTCTATCCGTGCAGAGGATCTTGCTCTTGAAACTCTTAAACTTCTTTCAAGAGATTATGGAGTTGCTTAAAATAAAATAGTAAATGTTTGAGATTGTTTTGAGCTATTAGAATCAGCTTTTGTAGGTAGAAAATGACTCTGTATTAAGCTACTGACACACAGAGTATCATAAAGCTCACAAAAAGACAGCTGAGAAAGGTGTCACCAAAGAATCAATTCATATGTCCAGAATTATCCCTTTCCCTGTGCCAGCATATGACGAGTCAGTGGCCTCTTTTTCTTTACCCAGCTGATCTTTGATTCTTTGTGGTTTGAGGTCACTGACCTTCCACAGAATATCTGCTGCTGATGGATGAAGTTTATTGACACACAGCGTATCACCTAGCTGACAGTCACACCTGCCTAAGGTTCAGATGTACTGGACTTTTCTACAGGGCTTTGCCAAAAGAAGAAATAACACAATTTTTCTGATCCAGAATAGTTAAAGCCAGAGTTTAATGGGATATTCTTATACACCTGGCCTTTCTCAATTGCTCCTTGCCGACAAACATACCTGATCTTATTAAAAGTGTTTCTCCTGATGATGTCACCAATCTCTTTTTAGGTTTTGTTCTCTTCTGGAGCTTTCGTTCGTGCTGATGTGAGTGAATGGGGAATGAGCATAACGCTTAGGGCACCCAGTTCAGATTACAAAAATACAATGGGACTCTGTGGCACCTTTGACGGAAGTGCAGAGAATGACTATCACACTGCAAGTGGGATGGAAATCCCAAACAATTCTAATGTTCCTTTTTCTTTTATTAACGAATGGAGGTAACAAAATACTTCTGCTTCAATCAAATGTCATCGTTTTTGGTTCAACCTTTCCTTTGCACTCCTAACAACTTGTCTAAATAAAAAAAAAATCTTCTTAACTTTTAAAGTTGATGTTAAAATGCCATCATTACTTTCCGTGATTAATTATGGTGTAAATTGAAACTGAAGTGCCAAATGAGTATTTAAGTAGTAATTATGACATAAGATTAGTTTGAATAAGTAAGTTTTGAACAAAATAGCAAGGTATACAGGAGAGTCACTCAATCCCTTTGTTATAAGTTACTCTCATGGTTTTTGTAATGTAGCTGAGGCCCTTAAACATAGCTGAATGCCACAGGTTTTGTCGTCTATGGTATAGAAATATGAAACAACAAAAAGAAAAACAAACTCCAGATTCTTACTAAAATGAAGAAAATAGGCAGGGCATTTGAGATACAGTTTGTTTTTTTTTCTTTTTTTCTCTAGAATTTCACCAGGAGATAGTTTGTTTGACAAGACACCTGCTTCTTTAACATCTTCTACAAAAAGAGCCTTCTGTGACTGCACACTTGAAGATGCTGGACTATACCAATCAGAGAATAAACTGGAGTCGGGTTCTAAATCAGAATTTCCTCTCTCTTGCAAAGAAAGTGAAAATGGCAGATTTCCTTCTTTGATACCAGGACTGGATGTCACTGCTGAGTATCTCAGTCCTGTTGATCTCATCAGAGGCTTAAAGAAACGTTCATCTGCACATGAAATGGATTCTTCTTCACTTCTGTGGAGGAAGGATCAATCTGATAAGCAAACCAAACTTCACAAAATATCACTGGTAAACACAGGTATCTCTGCAAGTTCAGTAGAAAATACTTGGAGAGAAAGACAAGGAACTTCAAGCTCAGGTATCGAAAGAAATCCTCACAGTTATAGTACTCGTCTCCGCAAAGGTCAATCTGTTACAAGCAGAGGGAAGCGCCAAAATTATTATGAATATCATCCAGTATTTCCTTTCCAAAGTCTCAGCCAAAGAGATCTAGAAGGGTATAGTTATTTTTTCCCAGAAGACCATGCCACTGACACACACCAAAAGTTTTTTCCTTCCTGGCCCACGCCTTCGGGCCTGACTGAGTCTAGCGCTTTGGGATTGTGCCAGCAGGCAATAGTTAATTCCAGTATCGGAAGATCTTGTAGTGGCCTTCTTGGCAGGCGAGTAGAAGATGCAATAGATATGTGTGTTAAAGATTTGCAGCTGAAAGATGACCTCAGCTGGGCAGAAGCTTTCTTACCTCTTCTAGAGAATGAATGTGAGAAGAGAGTTTTAGAAGAAACAAATTACAACCAACAGGAAGTTCAAGGGTCAGTTGAGAACCTACTTATTGCATTAAAATGTCCCAATCTCTGCAGTGGTAATGGAGAATGTGTAGAATGGGGTTGTGCGTGTTTTCAAGGCTATAGCTCTTATGACTGCAGCATACTGTCTGGTAAGTGGAACAAAACAATGAGATGTACTTAAATAGCATTTTTGACGTTTGTGCACCATAAGTTTATTCTACTGCCTTTCTCTCCTGCTCTGGTACGCTGCCGGAGGGTCCCTACAGTCGGGCTGTTTGTTATCCAGCAACTTGGTTCCAATTAAAAATTGTTTTCTATTTGGTCTTCTTGTTTCCCTAGGGCAAAACATGGGCTTAGTTTATGGTATGTCATATTTCCTAAAGGTACCGCTCAGTGAGGTTGCAATCCAGCATACTGTCTTCTGCAGGGAAGATCTGCCATTCTTATCCATTCCGTATTGTTTATAGTCTATATGATCCTGCTTATTAACTGTAAGCGGAATGCTTTTCATTTTGGTGATGATACATCTCTGTAAGCAAACTGTTGAACGTGGTGGAAACACAAGTGATGGTGAAGAAAAAGGAGATATAGCAAATGTTGCTGGGCAGGTTTTTACAGTAAATAGAAAACGCAGGTAAGCAGACATATTGGGAAAGTATGAGAAAAAATATTAGGAAAGACAAAATCCTTTCAAACAAGATCTTTTACTATTTTATTTTGAAAAGACATTTATATTTTAGTGACTTATTTAAAAGCAAATGATAAGGTAAAAGATGAGGTAAAATAATAATAAACCTTTTAAACTTGTACTGGAATTATCTCACGAGCACTTGTAATAAAAAGAATGGAGATTTCAAACGTTGAAGCAAAAAATACTGGATAACATCATTTACATAGTTTTTTTTTTAGTTGGATAGAGAAATAAACATATTACTTAATGTAAATACATATGAATCAGTTATTATATCAACTTTCATTGTCTAATCTCTGCTTCAAAGACCGGATTCCAGAAATTACAGAGCTGGAGAATGCTGGGTTATGTGATATTCGACAGTATGACTGCACATCAGTGAGAGCTTTTGGACATGGCTTCAGGGAGTCATCAAGTTTGAAATGTGAAATTATCAAAGTGCAGGTAGGTCTCATTGTATAGCAATATTACATTTAAGCTTCTCAGAGAATGAGGAAAAAAGTCTAATTAGCCGAGCCAGTTATTAGTCATTTACGTGGGCGCAGCCCGAGGTTTAGCAGAAGCTAAAAGCAAAGGCACTCAGCGCTTAGCAGCAGACACTCAAGTCTTTGCAAGATTGCCATTTCCTCAATGATAAGAAGAATACAAAACGTAATGGGAATGTTCAGCAGCTGAGAGGGAGATAACAGCATACAGCAGCTATCCATCAGGAAAAGGCAAGGGCTTCTCTGTTAGCAGCAACCAGTACATTGTTTTTCTTTTATTTAAGTGCTTATAGATGAGAAGTGAAGAACCACTTCTTTGAAAAAGGGCAGCAAGGTTAAAGACATTTCTAGATTTCTGTACCAAATCTAATGCTTGAAATAGCCCTTTCATAAATTTAATAAATCTATTACAAAAACAGAAAGGCATTTTTGATATGTTGTCTGTTTCTCTGGAGTAGAATACCCTGGCTGTTCAGTAATATACATCAGCTCTGTAGCCCAGGCTTGAACAAGAGATTAAAAATACTGTACTGCAAACTAATACAATTTTAAGAGGAATCAGTACAGACAGAATGTTATTATCCAAACCCGGAATTTGCCCAAGACATTTAAGTAATTTGCAATTGCTAGCCTGAAGTAAACAATCTGCAGTTTTGAGTTTTTTCTTGATCTTGGACATGAAAATAAATGGGTTTTCATTGATAAAATGATGGGGATGTGGCAGGGCAAAAGGGGAACTGTTCAATGAGAAACTTTTGTTCTTGAAACAAAAGAATTTTTCTTAGCTAGTGCCAGCAGATGCTGGGATTATTTTGACCGATTAAGCAATGTGAGCTAGATTTTTTTTCTTGAGAACAACATATATCCACTCATCTGCAGGTTGGCTTGAAATGAGAACGTTTTTGCACTGGAGTGTAAATTTATACTTGGTCAGGTTAAAAGACTTTTAAACCAAGCTCACCGTTAGACAATTTTTGGGAGCTTGCTTATCACAGTTTGAAATGTCTCACTCTTAACTCAGGGCAAGGTTTTCTGATATAGTACTCTCTGTGGTAGTGTACTTGGTTCCCAACTACAAAAACTTTCTGTTAAATCACTTTTATTGATGATCTTCTCACTGACAAGAGCCAGGTTAGAAAACAAAAAAACACTGCTTTTATCTGAAGTTGAGGAGGAAGTATGGTTTTTCCCTGAAAATATCAAATGCCTATAGAGTGGCAACATATTTTGAGATAAACTTGATAGATCAATATTTTGTGGAAGAGTCACTTTGCCAGGATTTAGAGTTAGTTCAAAGTGCAAAGTTAGTTTCTCACTTTTCGTATTTTCACTTGTGAAAGGCTGAATCAAATCCGTCTTCCAGGGGCTGTCCTACTATGCTAGGAAGGATGTAGGTCTCATGCATGATGCTAAAAGAGGCAATTCCCAGAAATCTGTATTGAATAACTTCACAGATGTAGGACTAGTAAATCTTGCTTGGCAGAGGTTATGGCCAATGAGCCTATGATAACACAGATCCAGAGTTTACTTAGATTTTGTAGAAAATAGCCGAAGTTCAGCAGAAGTTTTTATCTGAGGTTATTTTTCTGTTCATAAAAAGAAAAGAAAACACCTTATCAGCAGATGACTCCTCATGTCAGAACTGGGCTTAAATGAATAAAGATGGCTTGACTGGCTCCTGGAGCTGAAGCAAGTAATGAGGGACAGCTCTATAAAATCTAGTGAAACTCAAAATGACTTCTGGTCTTGCTGTTCTCTAGATTCACAGACTGCCTTGATTCTCACTGTCATTTAACTTTGTTTTCAGTATGCTTTTAACCCTGCTTTCTGCTTCCTACAGGAAGAACTCCTATTGATATTACTACTTGGGTCAAATATTATCATCCCTATTTTTTTTGATCTTGAACTTTGAAGATAGATTATTGGATTATTTGCCCTCACTACAGTTTAGGAGAAAAGTCTACAGGGTCAGTGGTGTAATTTATTGGCTTATGCAAGAGTTCAGTGGCTAACTACCAATATCCTGACTATTAGGTTAGGTAGAAATCTTTTCCTGTGCTAATAGTGGTAAATTAATATTTCACATAGCACTTTAAACCAGAGACATTAGATGTGTTCGTTTAACACACAGCACTGCAATCCATGCTTTGTGTGAGATAAAAATATTTTTGTAATGCATTGCACTGAAAAACAGACTCTCTGCCTTAACATTTAGTATAACAATAGCCAGTGGATTCTTGGAGAACCTCTAACTATGCCAGCTGCCTTCCAAAACGCGAGGACTGTCGACTGTCCGTTACCAAGCAATGGCCAGCAGTCTGATGTCATGGATCTCATTGATGATAAACCCATTGCCAGGTGGCAAATTAAGGTACTGTCAGAAATTTCAAATATTCACTTAAAGATATTCCTGTTAAAATGAAAATATATTACGTAGCTATTATCATCTTTTTTCCTTTGTGATACTAAATGCAGAACTTAGCTTGCTTAGCTCAGGATCTTGGTTTCATAACCTAAACGTAAGTGTGGAGAGCCTTTTGAGACTGCTCCCCGGCAGGGGTACTGGTAGATATGACTGAGGACCTACAGAGACACATATCTTTCAAAAGTAGAAGTTAAAAGCCAGGTGGTTACCCTAGAGTATTTCAGATGACCTTAGACACATTTATGGGAAGATTGAGTCCAGTCTACATGCATGAATCTGTAAGTGAGGTAGACATCCGAGATCTCATAAAAACTCACTCAGTAAGGTCAGTAGAGCCTAGGAAGCTCTTTGTTTTACCTTAAAATAGACACCTACATCTAGTTGGTCAAATATCTATCTAGACTTATTGACAGGATTGACTAGATTTCTGCTAACTATTTTAAGAGTTTAAACAACTGAATGTAGGTGTTTACGTATGAGTTGAATCCCATGCTAGCAGTCCATACTGGTGATATGGTGATAGCCATATGAGTTAATCCATTTTTAATCTACATCTTGCAGATTTCTAATGATGGATTTGTTTATAGCAACCCTAAAACAATGATACTGTATGATGGAGCCTGTCAAATATGTGAACCACAGGAATCCAGGTTATGTACATTAAAGGTATATATTTCATTACTGTCTGTTCATTATGAAAATAAGCAGGTGGAAAAAATCTATGAAAATCAGCAAACTAAATCACTTCTTGTTTCTAACAGGGATTGTCTGTGCCCGGAAAAGATAAGCATAAATTCTGAAGCTGAGATGAGGCAACTTTGGAAAGAAGTTACCCTTCATATATTACCAAATAAAAATGAACATATTTTTAATGGCTTATTTTTAAAAATAGCTGAAGTGAAGGATAGATTAGATTTTTATTTGACGCTTTACAAAAACAATTTTCTGTTGTCAAACAATAAATCTGATGTTTCGCATTGTTATTTCTCTAAAGGAGAGAACATGCAACATAGATGGACTCTGTTATGGTGAAGGTGATACAAATCCAAGCAGCCCTTGCTTACTCTGCAGACCTCACATATCAAAGTTAACTTGGTCAGTTGTTGAAAGTAAGTTCTAAATAGTTTCTTCTTTAATAGCAAGAACTTGAAAATGTACTAAGTTTTCAAAATGTACGCATGTAGTGAAGCTTTAACTATGTAAGTGTTTTTAGTTCATAAGCTGATCTTGGTTTTCATCTTATATTTTGAAAAGGATATTTAATTTTTTCAGACCAGACGTGTAAAATTCAGGCTTTCCCCCAACCCATAGTAACCATCGTAAGTAACTGTAATGAAAATGATCAACCATCAGATTAGCAGTTTGCATTCTTCTGATTTTTGGCACTATACCCACAAATGTTTGTTTTCAGCTTTTAGGAATAAAAGATGTTTTCTAACAATCAGATAGATAGATGTTTTTAGGCAAGTTGGTTCATTTTTGGATGGATAAATATATTGGCTAGTCTACATACAAAAAAATTTCAGCATAGGAAAGTTCAGATTGGAAGGGATTTCAGGAGGCTGTTTAATTCAACCTCTTGCTCAAAGCAGGGTCAGCTGTGAGGTCAGACCAATTCACTTGTGGTGTAAGTAATAGTAGTATATAAGCTGCCACTCTTTTTCACGTTACCCTCATGAGGGTCAAAAACAGTGGGTTCAGCTACCTGTGGGTCCAAAGTTGCAAACAGACCATTAGAGATCATATCTGAAAATGCAGCTGTAAAATGTTAAGTTCTCCAGAGATATCTAAAGTACAATGGCAGCACTGTAGTTCCACATAAGCCAGACAACAAGCAGCTTTTCTGTATGCAGTCTTTGCATTGGTAGTTGCATGAAGGGCCTTGCATAAAGAACGGTAACAGCTCTTAGACCTAGTAGCAGTGTTTTAGGCAATGTTTTGCTCTGAGGGTTCTTTGGCTGACCCTGACACCAGACAAGAGGGAAATGCAAGAAGCTGGATAAAATGGCAGGTCGTATTTGTTAACGCTTAATGTTCGGAAATGATTCACATCGATGGCATGGATACACGGCTTGAACAAATACTCAAGGGCAGGACACCAGGAACAGGGTGTCATATCAATGAATAAGTTGCCATGTGGTCGAAATCCTCCAAGAAACAGTGAGTTTTGTTACCTCTTTCATCACCTCGTGTTCACTTATGCTGCAGCCCAGTCCCAGGTATCGCTTACCAAAGTCTGTTAATTTCTTAAAGGAAGCACCAATCACATCCGAGTTTTCTGTACCTGTACTTTCATCTGCAAACTGTAATTCCACTTAGCTAAAATGCGGTTTAAATTCAATCATTTTTGAGTGTTTTCTGTGAACAGACGCAATGCATCTTTACAAGCTCTTGCAAGGCATAAGTAATTTCTTCGTAATTTTGTTACAGCTATAATGAAAGTGTCTAGTGTTTTTGCTGTGCCGTTCAAATAACATTAAATTTTTTAAATAAACAATTACATGTGACTTCCTTTAATAGAAAGACATATTCCTTTTTAATTTCTGTAAGTATATTGCAACTCTTGCTTAAAAGAGAAAATGTCTGCTTTGTTACAGACAACCAACCTCCGGTGCTTCAAACGTTTCAGGGTATGCTGCAGACTTTCCATGGAGAAAATTTGGTATATCAGTTTTTGGCTTCAGATCCAGAGGGCTCTGCTATTCTTTTTACATTGGAGTCTGGTCCTGCAGGTGCCAGTCTTTCCCCATCAGGTCTCCTTTTATGGAAAGCTGTGTCAAAGAATCCCCATAAATTAACATTTTCTTTGACAGATGACTGCAATGCGGCAACAAAGGTAGAAATAGAGGTAATGAACATTGCAGTCAAATGACACGTACTAGTAAGATTTTTAAGATATTTATTTACAAAATTCATTGCTAGTTTTTTGAAAAAATAAGTCTTTTCTATTGGGCTTGTCTTGTAGGTCAGTGTAAAATCGTGCGATTGCCTAAATAATGGCTCATGTGTGACAGATGTTAATTTCCCACCTGGAAGCGGAAGATACCTTTGTATGTGTGCGGCTGGATTTGAAGGTGATCTCTGCCAAGTGAATACTGATGAATGTAAACTTAACCAATGTGGTACTGGCAGATGTGTGGATGGAATAAACAGCTATTACTGTGAATGTCCACCTGAACTTCAAGGTAAGTTACTACTTTATACGTGTAGTGACAAATATCAGTGTCTAATTTGATCTCTACCGTTGTTTTAACTTTTATTGACTTAAAATAGCTTACTGTTACAGTAAGAAGAACTACTGTGGTCTTGTGATAAAGTTATATAGGATATGTCTTCAATGCAACACAAATGCATCGGAAGAATAGGTACACTATGAGGCCATTTCTAATCCTGTCTTCCAGCTTGCAAATATTGCCAAAGGAGAGATTTTTTGTTTTTGTTTTTAAGTGACAAGTAAAGACTGATAATTCTTGTTCAAACTATTTTAACAACTGATTAATACAATGACTGATAATATTGTAAGAACAAGTGATTAGGAGAGCAGATTTCCACATTTTCTTCCCTAGAGGTAAATTCAGCAACATGGTAAAACATAAGGGGTACTGAGTCTGCTTACAGAGTGATTACTCCCATATCTGCAGATAATCATGTAGCCCACAGAGCCCATCCTCTCCATATTTTGCAATGAGCAAAATACTTGCTGTGTGTTGGAAATACGTGAATAGCAAACCTAGTCGGATGTACTTAATAAGCGTATCAAAATACTTTGTTCTTCTTTATAGATGTACTTTTTATATTTCAGCACCTACATACATTCTACTTTTATATTTTATAAACACGCTGTCAAAGTCTAGTGACAGAATATTATAAAAATCTGTATTTTAATTCAGGTAAAAATTGTCAAGATGACGTAGATGAATGTGAATCCAGCCCTTGTTTCCCTGGAGTATTTTGCTTCAATACTTTTGGGTCTTACTATTGTGGTCCATGCCCAACTAATCTACGAGGAGATGGGAAGTCATGTTATGGTATGATAAAACATTATGAAAAATAGACTATTTTTCATAAGAGTGCTATTAGGTTACTCTAATTCAGATAAGATATCTTTGGCTGTGTTACATGTTTCTAACTTTGAAGAACTCTCTTCAGTAGTTAGCAAAAAAGGACTGCTTTCTGTGACTGTTGACTGCTAGAACAGAATCTCAGTTGGCAATAGCATCAGAATACACTGGTTCACGTAGCTGTAGAACACTTTTATGTAATTAAAAAAAACCATCTACAAAATATGCTAATTCTTTAATATAAAAATAGGATATAATGGGGTGTAGGGTTTCTGCATTATTTTCCTGGTGTGTGCAATTATTGACAAAATGCTTTCCTATTTGATAGCTTGAGAGAGAACTATTCAAATCAAAGCACTTGCCTAACAAGGTGCCTAAGCATTTATTTATACTGTCCTATTACGCAGTTCCTGAGTAACTTGCATTTTGGAATATACTGTATTGAATTTTGTATACTCTTTTTTAAGAAACTATTTTACTCTTCATCTGTTCTCTCAGAATTTTGAGCTCTCTTTTTATTTACTAAAACTTTAACTCTATTTGAAATGTATTCGCAGTTGAAAAAAAAAAGTAACGATTAACGTGCCTTCACATCTTTTGTTTTTAGAAAGTTTTGAAGACGTTAATGTTAAAGGAGAGGATTCCACAGGAGAAATTGGAGAGAATAAAGGTGATTTTTCATGAAGAGAGTGGGATTTCTGAGTCACATACTGATAAGAATATAGCTGGCAAATAAAGGTTCTAGTCGGTTTTACGTTACTCACTTTAATTTGTCAGTTTAACTCAGTTGAATTCATTGTTTCGGTTGTATTCCTATTTCCAATCTGAAAAATGACACCAAAATGTCAATATCAACAAATCCCTTAGGTTAGTCAGGTTATTTTATTGACAGTGTGATGTATGACATTCTTCCTGTTGCCTTTTGTTTTTGTCACTAACCACTGATGTAAAATAGGTAACATGGGGATAGGGACATCTGTTACATGAGATAAGCAAAAGTTTTCGGCATTATGTTGAATGCCATTTTAATGCTTTAACTCAAAAGAAAGGCGAAGGATACGGCAAATGAACATTCTTAATTCCAAAACTCCATAAATACTATTGCTGGTATTTCCGAGTCTGCTCCTGCTGGGGCTTTGATCACAGGAAATTCTCCTTGAATGTCTTTTCCCATTTATCTCTGAATTGTTAGTAAGGGAGGAGGAATACTCTTTGTCAACTGCCAGTGCTGGATAATTCTTCATCAGCTGCAAAATGGTTTGCTTTTCAGCAGTGGGAGACATAGCACCTTGTAATAAGATTCAGGAAAAGTTTAACCTTTTGTAGATAGCTGCCTAGTACAATCCAAAATGGGATTAGGGACAGATCTTACGTCAGGTTGAATAATTTCATCCTATTTCATTCCTG